ATTTAGAACAGTTCGAGGGCGCCGAAGAGTAGAACTTGGAGGTGGCATAACATCGCAAACTGACTGTGAAGTTTGAATGAAAGAACTTGAAGAAACACCAGCTGTTTCTTCACCTTGCACTAAACGCCGTTTTGTCTTGAGGATAATAAAGTCAAACAAAATGAAAGAATTGAATGATGATAATAAGTCGTAGTGAAATTATACGTGAAGTAAAAGTTTATAAACATTGAACTGTCGGTCAATTTCTCAACAGGAAAACACACTCGAAGTGATTTATAGTCCCTATTAATGGGCCGAAAGCTCCAAGGCAGAGCAACTCAGTGGTAAATCCTTATGACCCCCAAAATATAGCTTACTAATATTAACACGCACTTCGACGGATGCATTGAAAAACAATACTCTTTCAATGTTATTTTAATTGAGTTTTGTATTGTCTTTATAAAAGTGTCAGACGAAGCGCGTAAATTCAAAACACATTTCAGCACAGTCACCAAGATAATATGGATCAATAACCAGCTCAATTCTAAAACACATGATTAATTCAAATCAAACAGCTCCACCAATATCCACTAAAACGCTTGAACTAATCAGTCTGAAGTTGTCGCGACCGTTTGTTAACTTGACAGTGATTATCCTTGACAGATTTTTTTAACCTTTTTTCACTTCCACATTTGTCTATTGAGTGATTATAACCAACTTATCAAAAATCGAACCGCCATTTCCCACTTATCGAGCCATATCTTTTTTAAAGTTGAGGTATAACTATTCATAAAATTTTCAAAACGGTATTGACGTAACAGTTGTGTATGAGCGATCGTAATGTGATTGTATTTAGTATGAATACGATTTTGCAGCTGAAAATAACTTCCAGATAGAAAGAATTCTTGCTGAATCAATAGTTATGAAATAAACAAATTGACATTTTCTCATATATTTAGCAGTAGGTAAAATCAAAAGGCGATTCCAAATGAGCTTCAGTAAATTGCATAAAAGGAAAAACTTAAAAACGCAGCTTTACAAAACACATAACAAAGAAAACAGGTGAATTCATTGTTTCACTTTGCGATCTCTTCCACTACTACTACTGCCAGATAATCTTAAGCCTATACGATTTACTAATCAGTTGATGTTCTATTTAGATGAACTAGTATTACAAAGGGAGAAAAATGTATCTTTCATATTCAAATCTATAGTGAGTCAGTTTGATAAAAATACAGAATCATGTTAGGCATTTAAAAACTTACTTTAAGAGCCTTGTTACCAGCATCACTTCCGTTTATACTAGCGCTGAGGAAAAAAATAATAAAATTTGTGTGAAGATTGGATGGAAAAATTAAATTCTCAGTTATTGTGACTGAATAGTTCCCTATGAAGTGAATGCATATAAACAAACTATTCGAGAAAAATAAGGGGTGCGGTTAGTTGGTTATTTATAAAAACAAAACTATTTTCCAGCGATTTATATTTATAAATTAGCATTATCAAAAGGATACAGATAGACAGATAAAACATCCATAAACAAAATCAGCATGATATATACTGAAAACTAATTAACATAGTTTCATAGATATGCAATTGCTGTCACAACCAACAAACAATATCACACCCTAACTTCAAGTCCTACCTCCTTTACCTGAATATACATATAAGCATATAACGAGTGTACCTTAATCCTCATTATAAGGGGTAAGTTGAATGAATCTGACTACCCTCTTAGTGACCACTTTGTGTTCAAACTCATTCCTATAGGGTACTGCTAACGCTTAGAAGTATATATGTAAAGGTTCTAATATGCATATATTGCAGTTAGCTACGCTTAAGTGCATCTTTTTGCCACGGGTTTTGCGTAAATTACAGCAATATGATAAATGTATGATCCGAACTCAGGAAAGCAGTACAAAGTACTACGAAGTTACCTTAAAAAATAAGTATTGATTTTTAAAGAGAATAATCAATCCACTATTGGTAACACTTATTTGTAAATAGAATAAATAACAAGTTTCAGATCACAACTGTAGCTACCAGGTAGCTCAGTTGAACGGAACCATATATATATATATATATATATATATATATATATATATATATATATATATATATATATATATATAGTGATATTAGTTTTATTTAGCCAGAGTAATAAAAAATATCACCAAGTGATGCAATATTAACAACTGGATGATGTTTCGAGCATAAATTATTGCTCATAATCATATCAATTTTAGTCGCGCGGTTTCACGATTTGTCTAACATATATTTTCTCTCTTCCTCTCACTTCAACTTCCCTTTTTTGTTTGTTACCATTTTCTATATCTCCGGTATAGGGGTAATTACATGAGAAACAGGGTAGGACAGGATGAGAGTATTAAATAGCAACGTAGTTAGGTGAAAAGAGGATTTAATCACTGAATCTTCAATGATCGGTTTAACGCCGCACACGTGCAGTTGGAATGATGCAACAGTCACAAGGCAAGCTCGTATACCATTCAGCCACTGAGACCCGATTCAATGGTTCATGAATTTTAACTTCTACCAATTTGTGATTTTAGCGCGACCACAAACCAATATCATCTGTGGGAAATCCATCCTCATTCCCGACTGGATGTACCTCACTGGTCCGCAGTCAAACTCGGAAAACAAATCTAATCCTTACAAACTAACTCCTGAAACTTAATATGGAAGTAATAAAAAGTTCACTTAAATTTATTTCATTACTTACAATTAATGAAGAGTAGCAGTTTACTTATCAGATGTGATAAGTATGCATAGAATATCCCACCGTAAAATACGACTGGAGATGAAAAAGGTCGAAGATTCAACTTTCCATATTCAATTTCATTACTTTATACGCGGTTATCTATGAAGCAATGCACTCCTTGTTAAAGGTCTCCATTAACAAAATATGTGGAGAGAGGGATGATAAGCAGCACAATGCTAAGTGAATGATGACTACGACCTAAGTTGATAATATATACCTTGACAGTCAAAGCCGGAAAGCGGTGGTAATGCACATCATGTTCTAAACAATTCTGATACATTAATATTATTTGAATGATCAAAGTTGTGTCACAACAAATAGAGTGGGGTTACAAACTAACTGCAACAGTTTGTGAAAGTTGATGATGCTCTTTGGTTGCTGAGATCTCAATAAGTCAAAAAGGATTCATATTCGCCATCAATTAAATGAAACTGAATGCCTCAGTCAAAGTTGCCACCTTTATCAACTCTTACCTCAATGAACTTGTGTTGCTTTTCAAAAGAATCATAATCACTCTTTTATTACAAAAAACAAACATGAGTGTGCCTGGTTAAGTAGGTTGTTAAAGAGATGTGAAAAAGTGTAACATTTACACAAATGTAACAGAAATGATGTAGAACACATGACCAAGAGGTAGTACTACATACGAATTTCCAATGCTAGTGAACATTTCACGAGGAATGCTTTCAATACTGCTTGGGGAAATAATAATATGATGTTTGATATAACTTTAAAATGGGAATAAAAAGGTACAGGAACAAAGTAAGTAGGACGAAACTTACCTACCCAAAGCACCATAACCACCAGATGCCTCTTGTGCATCTAAAAGTGAAAGCATAGAAACCGTTTAGTGTTATATTTAGACAACAGGCAAGTTACTCACGTGACGACTATCTTGAGTGAAATTACTGTTAACGAACACATTGAAGAGAATAACCTAGTGATACGGCAATAATTAATTTTGAGAGGAATTATAATGGACTCTACCCTTAAAATAAGCCAAAACTTCCATAGAAAAAACAGGCTATGAAGAATGGAACATTAATGGTCAATGAAATTAATCTACCACTCAAACACTTTTAAAACACACCCACAACTTATACTTACTAAAATGAACGAATGAAAACAAACAAAAAAGTCATACACACAATATGAAAAATTCGAAACTACTAATTTAGCATCCGCTTTATATACACAGGTTGCTAGACAGTCAGTCGATTTGTGAAGTCAATCATTATAATGACTGTTCTGAGATTTCCAATATGTGACGTAATACAGATTCGTTTAAAATGGAGCATCGAATACCGGACGGCATTCTAAAGAAAACTGCAACTGTATTTCAGCATACTTAGTAATCCAGGATGGACTGACAACGCACAATTTTGCACAAAAACGCATTCATTCATGTTAGCATACACAAACGAATAAAACAGATATATGATGACGATATGATAAGCAAACATGGGTGCGACAGAGAATGTAATTTGATCGAGATCAGTAGACATCTTCAGAACTTCGAAAATGTCAAGGAAGGGAATATATTTGAACTATATATAACAAAGGAATTACCTCGACATGAGTAACACATGCTTTGCTAACCTTAATTGATTGAGATTCATAATCTGTCTTCCACACGTGACATTACGGATAATTTCGTTATTATTATGATGCGATTGAAAAACTTTCGGTTCATAACAGTTTTACCTCTCAAAAGTGCAAACAGAGAACACCTCCAATTGTAACAACAGAAGGCAAGACACGGGAGCCAAGGCATCTTATTCATTAATCAAACCGCTGTTTACATCTATACAGTTTATATTCGTTAACCAATCACTGAGTGTGTGATTTTGGTTCACACTAAACGACATTAAATAGAATGTTCAGGTATACATAGTCTCCAAAGCCTCAGGATGGTCGGGGGTGGGTGCCTTGCGCTGCGAGTTGGCCACCCCTCCACACACCTCTTGAAATGCTCCCATATGACCGGGTGTCTTACATAGCCTTTCCTGAGGAAGTCCTACTCACTGCCTTCACGTGGTGATGTTTTTCACCAAAGTGAGAGGGCGAAAGCGGATGCCCGGCGCTCTTCACCGGGTTGACTGTCCATTGGATGACAGTCTAGGGGAGATGGCTAAACCCTGATTCCAAACCTCCAACGACTGGCGTATGAAGCTCACCGGCAGACATATGGACAAAGAGCTTGTTGGATGTCCTGGATGTCTGGCCCCATTCAAAAAGGCGTATGAACCGAACTCCGGTCACCGACTGCCAATGGATAGTGGACTCCCTACTCCACTCCTACTGCCTTGTAGGCCACACTTGGTTGTGTAAAGGCTAGAGCTGCACTCTCAAACAAAAGGCCGAGCGATTCTGGGGACATCACTCGTACCAAATTCCCATGAAACTTCATGAACTCTCTTTTCGTTGCTACAACATCAACCAAATTCCAGTACTGGTCCAACAACGTCGCCTTCGGTGGTTTGGCCATGTTCTGAGCCGACCAGATGACGATCTGGTCAAATCAGTTCTAAATCCCTCGCCATTACCATCTTGGCGATGTCGCAGGGGTGGACAGCTGAAAACATGGCTTGGCACAGTCAAGGCTGATATGGAGTGCCTGGGGCTACAAACCGTCGACGGACTCCGTCTGTGGAACAAGAATTGAATAACCCTGTCGCAAAACCTTGCATCAGATCGCCGCGCCTGGGCAGCGATGATTCGAGATGTTCATGAAGCCGGCTCATCCTCCCGTAGGAGGTAGCCGAAGTAAAGTAAGTAAAAAGTAAACATAGTATTCTGTTGCTAATGCAGTATTTAACTGTGGGAATATGTGAGAATTATATTCCTTTGGAACAAATTGTCCGTATCACATCTCCACACAATTACATATCCGACTGTCGAAAGGAAGACAATATCAAATGTCATACCATTTTCCCTGACTGCTTAGTGGTATACCCATAAACATTTGCGGTTCAATATGTGGATGTTTTAGCGGTTTTGTTACTCTAGGCATTAGTATTTTTATTGCGAAAGCTCCCGAAGTCACTCTAAGCGTGATAAGAAGACTGATGATACTTAAGCTGAAACAAACAGGAAATCACACACTTTGAGATCAACAGGCATTAGGAATTTCGAAAATATGAACTAATTTCCACACACCACATTACATAAATACTTGGAGGATCATGAATTCGTAGATCTTGAAAATAAACATGCGAACTAGAACCTGAGACCTTCAAACGTCAAACGTTTCGATTTGGTTTGAGAGCACATTACACCGCTAAAATACCACAATATATACTGTGAGTTAAAACTATGTTAACCTTATATAAGGGTGTCAAACTACACGTATTCTGAATCAATATCAGATTTAGAATAAGTCGAATATAAAACACTCACCATATTTAGATGGTTCCATATTCGCATACATAGAACTGGACATTGGAAACCTATTTTGGTTACTTAAAATGTTAGAATACGTCTGGATTTGATTGTCTTCATTCTGTAATTCATCAGAGGAGTCTTCTGATGAAATCGGTGCAGATGAAAGAGTATATGGACAACATTCATAACCAGTAATGTTTGATTTTCCATTATGTGGACAAAAAGGCTTTCGAAATGGAGGTTCATTAATAGAAAACACTGTTCCCATACAATCAGGTGATATTCCAGCATTTTGCATAGCCAGCTTAATAAGTTCTAATTCTTGCTCTCGTTCCTGTTCCTTCATCGATAAACTGGCTTGTAACTGGATTTCCCTCTGTTGCAGTCGGGCAGCTAGCAAGCCACGAGAAACAGCAGCTTCAAAAAGCTGAGTAAGAAGAAAACGTGCTTCACTTAAGGTGCAACTTGAGAATACCGCATGCACATTATTTGATTGATTATTGCTACACGAAGACAAATTCTGTCTTGAATCTTGAGATTTAACCTGTTTATTACCAGTGAGTTTTGATGTGTTAGATTCACATTTCTCAAATTCAATGATGCTAGCCTGACATTCCTGTATAGAGTCCTGAACTGATTCGAGTTGAGCCGTAACATTTCTTATCTGTAAGGGGGGGAAACAAAAACATTTTATTGTATTTTTTAAGGTTAACTGGTTCCTATGCTAATAAAACAACAAAAAACACTATAATGATAAAACTGACCTGTTCATTAAATTCAGCCAAGTTAGATGAATTCTCCATTTGTCCTGAATCATTCGTGGCATTTTCTTCAATACGAGCTCTGCGACGCTGCAAACATTTCAATCGACGCCCTAAACACTCACGCTCACGAAGCCATGTTTGCAGATCATGTTCTAAGCGTGCTGACTTTTGATGTCGTTCAACACTGGCATCCAGTTCCTGAGAGACCAGTGTCCACTTAGCTTTAGCTGTCCCGAATATACGATGTCGACCGTACATTGAATTACTTAATGATGATCGACCGATTGGTTTCCGTAGTGAACCCCAACCGGTGCTTGTCATTCCTAATACACTCTGAGACATACGACCACTGAAAGAAGAGGACAATTGTCTTTGCTGTTCAATATTCTTCCGCCTAAGAACATCTAACTGCAAAATAAAATGAATTGATGTTATTTAAAGCGGCAATTACCAATAAATAAGGATTAGAATTAAAATTCAAAAATAAATAAACACCTTATCAGTTAACGGTAGACTTAAACACCACTTAAACCACTCGGTTTCTCAACATCGAACCTTCACACACACACACACACACAAGTGGTTTGAAAGATGCCATAAATAATTTAATAAACTTAACTAACACTTTCAAAAGTAGGACAATTATCATATGAACCGAATGAAACGGCAATTTTAAATCAAGGCATATGGTGTAAATGTGCCAAGTTGTGTGACACTAATAATCTTTCTTTCAACTGACAAGATATCTCATCTTTCACTATAAATTATTGAATAGTTCTGAGCTCCAAAATTTTAAAAACACAAGAACATAAACCGGCTCAAACATATTTATCGCTACAGGAAATATATAAACTGGCACGTTCGACAACGGGAACCAACTTGAAAGGATTTCTTATAGTTTAGACACTTGAAACAGTAATTCAAAGTTGACATGATAAGGACAAACGTTTGAGATATGCAAAACTGCTTGGTTTTATATTCCCTAGAAACAAAGCTGGAGTTCAGTTGACGACTGGGAAGAAGGATAATAAGTGCGATTCTTCGAAGGAACAATAAATGGTCAAAATCTAAGGCTACCAGGAGAAATTTGTTCTTATATAGGTTCAGATAATTAATATTTACTGATAAATAAAACTTAAACTGTATTACAGAAGAATTACATAACACAATGACTTCAATGCTGATTCAAATTACCCATCGGGTAAAGTAATGAAAACTATCATGTTAATAGATGGCTTATGGATATATAAGTGAAGAAATCAGAGTCTATTTAATTGATAAGCATACAGCTTTATTACCTCAGCTTGTTTCTGTTGCAAAGCACGGTCTTTAGCTGAATGAGCTGCTTCTAGTGTCTTTATTTGATTATCAGCTTGTGATTTGGCTTTTTTCAACTCCATAACACGTTTGGCCGACAAAGCTTCTAAGTGACGAGTACGCTGGGTTTCTTCTCTTAGACGTTTAGTTAGATCGATTTTGTATTTTCGCAGTTGTTCGAGTTCTTGTCGTAAAAGACGTAACTCTTCATTTTTCTTAGACTGCTGTCGTTCCAGACGAATTTGTTCTTGGCGGGACAAATGAAGTTGTGAAACTTCTTCCTGTTAAATAAAAACGATCAGTTAGAGGAATGAGTTTGACATGATAAAATCGGCTGTATCGAGTGAGATACAGTCATATGACAAATAAAACTAAGGAATAGATGCACCTACTTGTAATATGGATAATTTCTTTTCAAACTCTTCTCGAGTACGTTTTAACCTCTCTTCGCCACTGTGCTCTATTTGACCGAGATTAGCAATTATTGAATCTCTTTCACGTTCCGTCTCTTTTATCCGAAACAGAAGACTTGCCATTTGACGTTCATAGTGATTTTTCAAATGATTGAGTTCGGCAGCCTTAGACTGCAGCTCAGCAATTAACCTTTGCTTAGTGTCAATCTCAGAGGATACATGGGCTAAACTCTGATGCAGTCGAGCTTCTTTCAACCCACATTGCGGTTTATCGCTAGTATGATCACTCATACTTCCCATCAAGATATTTTCATCGATAGAATCTATTGGAACAGTATGAAGAACAAAAGAATAGGAAAAAGTCCATTTATCTACGAAAGTCCATACATAAAATTATTTGCATAACATCTTTGAGAGCATAAACAAATATAGGTAGATAGGTGTGTACTTGAGAAATATTTTTACTGTAGCAAACATATATTTTGAGTAATGTCCATGGAAAGCAATATTATTATTAGGAAAACTGGACTATCGGAAACTGATTCGTCACTAAATAAGTTAATGACGCGTTGGTAGAATGGTGCTACACCAAGAAATAATAATTTTTCCCACTCTTCTCTAATGATCAGAATAACAGCATATCACTATTGGATTTCTGAAATCCCGTATTTACAGTAGTACTAGACTATCATTTTCCCTACTAAGAAGAGAACTGAGGCCATCATTTTCTTAAACAAAAATCGAATGAACCCTACCTTTCACAAATAAACAGTTGAAATTTAAGTTGGCTTCATCGATAACTGAGCAGTTTTCAAAATTTTGACAATACAATAACACAGTGATTCATTGATAAAGACAGATAGACTTTATTAGATGAATTTTAGATGGAAACCAACGTAAATCATAATTTTATTGTCATCCACATTTTAAAAAACAACGCAAAGATGATGATATCTTTAGAAATGTATCGTGGAGATGTGACATATTATCGTAAATACTAGACATTCAGCAAATGGGTGCCAGATTCAAATTATGCCTAAATTACTTCAGCCTCGGTAGTATCACAATAAATATGGTTTAGAGCCTGTTAGATACTAATGAACGCATATTTAGTCGTAAAATAAAATCTGCTTATTTCTTTCATTATTCTTTAACTATTTGAAAATTTGTCACATAATTTATTTCGATAGAGAAAGAAAGACCAGATTTGCAGTATAAAATGATATCATTCTATTTCACAGGTTCTCATCAGCTGCAAACTACCTGAAATTACAATGGTTATAATTAATAACATTTCATACTTCATTGTTTGAAAGGTAATACAGAAAGCATTATAAGATAAACGCATCCGGAATATAAGGATTATACACGAAATACACCTGTTTACTTTCCTACCCGCATTTTTAAGAAATGCGATACTTCATATGGAACATTTCTAGTATTCATAATTTTACCGACTGTATTTCAAATAAAACCAGTAACTAGAAAATCTATTCGCCTCTAAAAACTCATAATGCATCGGATCAATAGCGAATTTACAACAACATACATTAACGTGTACGCGACTTAAATAGCCTATGTACGAAAACAAATGCGTATATATCATTCTAATTTTAAGAAAACAGCTAGTTGGAAAGCGTAAAATAATTTACCTTTTGAATCACTATCCGAACATGAATCACTTAATTCTGTTGCATCATTACCCAAAAGAGTTTCATCTTCAACATTTTCACTATCATTCTGAAAATGTGAAAACAAACAACGGAAAGTAGTTAAAAGAATAACTAAACACTAAATCAAATTAGGGTGAAAATCCAGACATATCAGTAAAATTTTGAGAATAAAATGTTCAACAAACTCTAAATTCCATCTAGGGGTGTACTATAAAAGCAGTGACATGAAAACAAGCAATATCGGTACACCAAAATAATCATATTCCTACACTGAAAATACGAAACATTTTAGTAGGATTATATGAATTCAGGTTTGTGGATCTATAACGAAGTAGAAACGTACTGGGATATATGCACAATCGATCACTACGTTCATGAGTATTCAACTCCATACAGAATCTTCTAACAGCAATGACTTATCAAAGACAACAGGATGTTATAATAGCAAAATGGCAAATGGTCATGTGATACCACTGGGTGCTTCAGAAGTCCATAACAAAAAAAATCAAAACAATGTACGGTACTTAGTGTTTACGAAATAGGCCGGATCGAGTCACAAAGGTGACATCATACAAGCTCAGTGACTGACTGCTTACAACATAGAACTTTGCACGAATGTGCAGCAGTTCAAGTTGCCAAACTCTATGTGGTACATAAAGCAAGAGAAGAGAGTGAAAATAAATGCAAAATAGAGACAGTAAACAGAGATATAAGGCAAAAAGAATAGTAGTATGCAAGAACAATATGTTTTTATTGGGTATTATAAGTCACAAGAAGTGGATGCATCTGCGCCATTGACAAGAACTTTGAGCTATATCACCAATTGTTTCCAGTCGCCATTGGTTCTTAACATCCGAGGACCCAAACCAATCTACACTTCCCTACGTGGCTTAAACTAACTGTTGTGGATTTCATTGACTAATGCCAAAAAGTCATACACGAGAAAAAGCCATAATAAAACCTACACCAAGAAACTTACCTCATTCTCTCGATCTTCATCACAGAGTCCCTCAATTGCTGTGCTGTCTGTATCATTAGATAACAAGGTCCGCCGTCCTCTCCTCCGAGAATTACTACTTTTGGAATTTTCAATGTCAGAAAAAGCAGCAACATTAGTCACTAGAAAGAGAAATATAAGAAGAAAGTTCAATGGACAACTCAAATGTGTGGGAAAAATGATAAGCCTCATTGATTGACTCAGTCTCAACGTAAAAATTCCCACATAAGCGCAGCAGTTCAAAAAGCCACTCCATGTAGCACACAAAAGTACAAAAACTTCAAAGAAACTATACTGAACAGAAATCTATGGGAAAATGAATAAATGCGTAGAAGATAACGACGATTTGATGGATCCCCAAGTTCATAAAGAGCAAATGTAACATCGAAAACGACTCTAAGCCATATTACCATCAACCTCCAGCTGTTGGTGTTCAGCATTTCTACGAACCCTTCCCCCCCAACTCAGTCGAGCAGTCGTTTACACCTCCCTACGTGACCCAAACCAAAAATTAAAGACTTCAGAAATTGATGCCATGTTTTGATTTTAGCACGCACAACTCTTTTCCAGCCTAATCATACGTCAGCTAATGTGGTTCGATGGGAATGCAGATGAATTGCCATGTGTTACGCGTATGCTAGCCATCTCAATTGATGTGGCTTCACAACCTCATCCGCTGACTTACCCTCTCTACCTGACACTTCACCAGTACTACTCACCGAATTATACCAAACGCAAGTACCTGTGGTGAAAGACAGCCTCCTCTACTTCTAAGCACCACGTCTCATGGCCATAAAGAACTATTGTTCAGTACACACGTCCTTTGATTCATAACCGAATAGTGTGACCACGCCAAACATTATGTAAGTTAACGAATGCGCCACGCATATTTTGTATCTGTGCTGAGATTTCGTCAGCAGTCACTTCATTAGAACTGATGCGACTTCTGAAATAAGTGAAGTTGTCAGCACGCTCAACAACCTTGCTTCCTATCTTTAAACTAGAAGTCAGCGCAGACCGGCTTTGCAGCATTACCTCACATTAAACAGGTGCAAATCGTATGCCAAATACACCAGGATTTCTCTCCAAGGTGCTCAAGACTAGATTTCGTCAGTGTCTTCACACAGAAGGACCATATCATCTGCATAGTCTAAATTGGCAGGACCGACCCCTGGTGACAAGTCAATCCCTGCGTACCTATTGCGACTCCAGTTACAGTTGGAGCGTACATCTTAACTCAGGTAGGTGCTGGCTGTTGGGAAAATTTAAAGTGGCTGCAGGCCAGTTAAATCGGTCCTCAAAGTGTCTCCCCATAGTATTATTTGTCTAACTTAACAGCTAATTGAAACATCGACTTCGGAAACCATTTTAATTACCAGTGACTTTGCACAACCTAAATAATTGCCCGTTATCATCCAGCACTGATGACTTTTCCATGTATTTTGGTTTAGTCACCCACTATTGCTCACAATAGTTGTTAAACCCTTCAGTCAGCTTGTAATTTTGAAGGTCGATACTTTATAACTCCGTCTACTCAGAGAGGAGATACAGTAAAGTTAGTATGGTGGTCGTCCGTGGGAAACATTTTACTGCTGTCATATCTCTCTGCAGTAGTTCAAGTTCACCTTCCAACTCCCAAAAGAGTGTAAGTGACTTAAATTATGATGACCACTGCTTTTAGTCTCAAGATACAAATTTCCCAAGCAGTAACACAATAGTCGGTTGAAAAAATGAATGCACTTTTGGTTCAAAATAGAAGTAAACTTGTCATTGAACAATCCGATATATTTGTGACAGCAAAATTAAGTTTTGTATATGTATTTTACAATTCAGCATACTTTGAAATAAAAGGGGTTAACGAGGAACTGACAGAAAGACGTGTGAGTGCAGTATGACTTAGGCTACTTCAGCATTAAACACTGACCGGTTTCAACGTAAAACTTTGCACGAATGTGCAGCAGTTCAAGTTGCCAAACTCTATGTGGTACATAAAGCAAGAGAAGGGAATACAGAGAGATTCAAAAGAGAGATAAGAAACAGAAGTATGAGAAACAAGAATAGCAATATGGAAGAACAATATAATTTTATTGGATATTATAAATCACAAAGAGTGAATGCATCCTTGCCATTGACAACGATTTTGAGCTGTATCACCAATTGTTTCCAGTCGCAATTGGTTCTTAACATCCGAGGACCTCAACCAGGAAGCCAGTCTACACCTCCTTACCTGGCTTGAAATAACTGTTGTGGATTTCGTTCACTGATAAAGCCATGTTTCGGTTTAACCACCACTGGCTTTTTTTCTTGGGATTGTTTCATGAGAGCACCTCTTAGTCTCCACATGATTACTGAACCTGGAATTTTAAATGTATTAGTCAAGCTGACCCCCCCCCCTTCAATGATTTTCGCAGAAAGACGTGTTTCCCTTATAGATTGGGACAATCAATAACTTATAACAGTCAAACGGGACTATCTCAGATTCCCATGCATTGCCTAATATCCTAGTTAACCCAGTCAGTAGCCTATCACCATCATCATTAAAGACTTCAAGAGTCATATCATCAGGTACTTTGTTCACATATAGGGAGCGAACTATTTGAAAATAGTCATGGCCATAAGTAGATTTATATTCTTTACACTGAGACCGAGTAGTCGAAATAAATCAGTGTCTAAGTTCAATAAACTATAAATACTTGTAGAAAGTAAAATGTACAAAAACATGCTTAACTATGTCATGAAATTTAAAAAACAGGCTTGTACAATCAAAATACATTAATCCCAACATAGAACGAATTCAATACAGTGCACAGTCATACAGTACTATTCACCAGTGAAGTGCAACCAAAACTTATTGCTTGAGTTACATCACAGTATTTACGAAACCTTTTGAATTTGTCTGCTTATTTCTATCATTTCTTGTCCTCTGATATTTACAGTAACCATATTTTCTGTACCTTGAGCTCTGGTGTTGCATATCGCACTCCATCTATATTATACGGAACATATTCGGTAAATAATACTGTATCTCTTTATACTATTTTAGACAAATTATCCCTTAATATAAGTCTGTTCCCGACTTTGGTATAAATATAATTTGGTCTAACTAACTTAGCTCGGTGCTAAAGATGAGCTCAGCTTTTGCTGAAATTAAACACCGCATATCTACCTTTGGTAAACATTTCACACTTAAACAACAAAAGAAGTTGTATATTCTCTGACATGACCAGATCTTTAAATGCCTATGATCATGTTATCCTCTTTTTTTTCATCCAATCAAACCAGAAACAGAAAATGTAATTCACATACTTTTGGGTACTATAATGTAAGGCAACGTGTTGCAATGGTGCGTGAAGTTTTTCGTTGTTCATATATTGATGAATGTAGCAGATGGCGTATGTTGGCAAACGCCAAACGACCTCTCTGTATCCATGCTAAGATTTCGTCAGCAATCGACCCATCAGGACTGACGCGGCTTCACAAATAAGTGAATCGGTCAACACGCCCTACCATTTCATTCCCTATCTGTAAACTAGGAGTCGATATAGTCCAGTCCTGTAGCGAATTGCATGCCAAACATTCGAAGATTAGTGCTCAAGGTGTTCAGAAGACTGCATTATGTCAGCGTCTTCATCTAAGAAGGACTATGTCATCTACATATTCTAAGTCAATGAGACTATTATTCCTTGGTGGCAACAAGTCAATCCTTGAGTCGCTGAAGTCAGTTAGGGTTGAGTCCATTAGTACATCTTTGATGAAATTAAACAGAAATGGGAACAGTGGGTACCGTTGACGGACGCCACTAGTTGTCACCAGTTCAGATGACAACTCGTCGTAAGCTTTCACCTGGTTACATGGGTTCAAGTAGAGTGCCTTGATCAGTGCGATGTATTTTCTCGGCATTCCCTCCACAGCCAAACATTGCCACAGTACCTCTCGGTCGACGGAGTCGAATGCCGCTTTCAGGTCAAGAAATATGACGATTGTTAGACGCCGACAAGTATGCCTATTTCCCAGAATCTGTCAAAGAGTGAAGATATGGTCGATACACCCTCTTCCTGGTCTAAAGCCCGCCTTGTCCTCTCGTGTTTGTGCCTCCCGAGCACCACTTAGTCTACGCATTATTATTGAGCCTGGAACTTTAGATGCCATATCAGTCAAGCTAATCCCCTGTGATTATCACAGGAAGACTTGTCTCTCTTCTTGTATATAGGGATAATCAATGGCTTACACCACCAGCTCGACGGGACTACCTCTGATTCCCAGACGCTGCTTAATACTTCAGTTAACGCAGACAGTAAATTGTTTCCACCATCCTTAAACACTTCTGGAGTCATCCAATCAGGCCCCCTACTTTACCTCGTTTCAGATTAGTGAGTTTTTATAACCTCAGTTAGGGATGGAGGACCTGTGTGTATATCCCATTCAGGGAAGTGTTGGATTCTGGGTAATTTGAGCGTGGCTGTAGGCCAGTTAATTTGCTCCTCAAAGTGTTCTTTCCAGTCGTCTATCCTGAGAGCCAATTAGGGCGCAATTTTTCTTGGAGATTGTTTCACTTATCATTTGCCTTTTTTTATTAGAACACTATTAGATAACCGTAGAAATTAAAAGGAAAGGAAGTATATCTATGGCAACTCGACTTAATGATAACAGGCCAAGACACTGAGTGGGTAATTAAACATCGTAACAGTCAGAGGGTTTATTAACCTTAACACACAACTACAAACTAGGTTAATACTACAAAAGTATGAGGGAAAGAAACACTCACTTTTTGACTTGAGAGGTTTACGTTCTTCACTTTGAGAACTGTTAATGTGTCTCTTTTTCCGTCGACTTTTACGAATTCTGAGAGGATAACATTCAAATGCATTGGCGTCCACCGTTAATTCATCATTATCGAAGAATTTATTTGCTGCAGACAATCCTGCTTCTGCAGCGGATAACAGGCTAGAATCGAGATCTGGGAATTCCCCGTTGGTCAAAGCGACTCGAGTAGATGAAAAGGTTGAATCAATTTTCGAGCTACTTGAATTAGCTGTAAGTGGGCGTCCTGATAAACGACCAACTTGTGATGAAGTATGTGTATACGGTCGCTGACTGAATTCGACTAGTGCTTCAGCTTCAGCCAATTTGGTGCTAAAAATATAGCAAAGTAATTTCATGTAAAAACAAATTAACAAAAGCTCAATAAATTAAACCACTCAGTTTAAAAAAAAAGAAAGAATAACTTATTATCAGTCTTTAAACACAAAAATCTAGGAGCCAATTGGCAAATGCATTTATTACAAACTACTAAAAAACTAAGTGAATTTCACATTGTACACAAGTTGTAAATCGTCAAAACTGAAAAGCTCACCGTAACTCTTCGACTTCAACAGTATACTTTTCAACAAGATGTCGAAAATCTTCTGCATCGGCAGATATGAGACCAAGATATGATTTATCAGGCTCTGCTTTGCTGTTCTGATCATCAGATTTATCATGTCGCCCTACTCCCATCATACGGGATTTTAAAGTTGCCCAAGAGCATGTTTCCTGATCAGCAAGAAGCTGGGCATTTCGCACCTAGAAAAGCAAACAGGAAGACAATCAATTAGCCCATAGAATATATAACTGAAATCCCATTGGGGTTTCTAAAATTAGGGCGACAATTCATATGAAGGACTAAAGATTTCTTAGTCACAACGCACTATACAGAGAATCAAGGCAAAAGATTTTTACCGAGCTTCGCGAATAGAGCATTCATGTTTTCTAAACTTACAACGCAACCACCAGACCATCATGGCAAATAACATAACCACAAACAGACTGTAGAAAGTTTTGTAAAGCTAAGGATTAAGATTTAGTCGCTTCAAACCTTAGTTTTCAAAAACTAACCGGTTAAAATTTGTGTATGCATAAAACGAGTTATCACTTATCTTAGGTTTCACTGATAGCAAGATAAGCTTTATTTTTATAGAACGGCTTACCTTGTTTTATTTTCAGACTCTTAAGTGTCTTCATGATGGCACGTTAGTTAGAAGTACAGCCAGCACCAACATGAATGCTCAGTCTTCGCGTTCACATGCTATATTCACGCTGCACATCAGACAGCAAAAGTTGTTGAAGTATGAAGTGAGTTCCAATATGCATATTATTAAATATGTGAATCTACATGTACTATTTGATTACTTTTTGTCAAATAAGCTTACATCCTTGTTATTCAATGTGTATGTGTTTCGTACACTATTTTTGCCACCTACAGGTGGAATAGTTAACGGTGTATTTAGTAGGGTTGAGTTACCCGAAAGGCGTCCACACTATTCTAGGTAATTCTGTTGTCTTTAGATTATTCGAAATTAGTATTCCTACTTTATAATTTGCATTTATTGCCAACTACCCAACCAAGAGAATGCCGCTTAGATTACAAGCTCACTATTTTTCTGGCCGGTCCCCTACCCGGGAAAAAGAGGAAGGCTTGGGCGTGAGGTTAGCGATCATACTCCGAAAACTCAATCAGACTGGTACAGAAACTTCAACGCACAAAAGAATATAAAAAACAAACTTTATTCTCCGCTGGAATCGGAGAGATAAAATAACGCAGGCAGGTTGAAGTCTTCGGGAAGCCAGTCAGCCGGCGTGTCTTCTTTCGATGGAAGTAAAATAAGATTGGGGATTTAGAATGTCCACACAATGTCTGAGGTTGGGAAGGCGGCATAGGTTACCAAAGAAATGAGAAGATAAGGCGTAGAAGTGCTAGCAGTCTGTAGGAGCATGTGGAATGGACTTGGAATATCGAAATTGTCAACCTGAAAGTCAGTAATCTACTCCAGTCATCCATACGGTAACCACAAGCACACTGAGGGAGTGGTTATCGTGATGTCACCAACAACAGTCAAAGCTCTTATGCAGTGGGAATCAACCTCCTCCAAGACTATGGCAGTAAGATTCAACTCAACAGGAAGGAAGGTGTCAACTATCCAATGCTACGCACCTACAAACACCTCGGAACAAGAGAAGAAGGAAGATTTCTATAGACAACTACTAACAGTAAAGGACAACATCCCGAAATGGAGACATCAAAATACTTATGGGTGATACGGATACAAACCAAAACGGGGACAGATAATACAGGAAGAGAACTCATCATGGGTCGAGAGGCTCTCGGAGAAATAAATGACAAAGGAGAACTCTTCGCAGACTTCTGCGATTTCAATGATTTGGTGATCCGAGGCAGCGTGTACAAACGCAAGGATATACACAAGGTAACATGGATTTCGCCTGATGGACACACCAAAATCCACATGGACTTCATCTCAATGCTGTTCAAGAGAGAATCAACCATCACCTGCAACCCGCCCAGAAATACCACCACCACCGGCAGCACGTACAGAACTGCCTGCCAGTGGACACCAATCCTCCAACACAGACAGAAATCTTGAATGCAATCCACCCACTGAAGACCGAGAAGGCAGCAAGACCAGACGGAATTGCTCCTGGAGAACTGAAAACGAATCCAGAGACTGCAGCAGATGTGCTCACGCCATTATTGCAAAAGGTTTGGAAAGGTGCCCACCGATTGGTAGAAAGGCTGGCTACCTTGTCAAGCTACCAAATAAGGCCAACCTAGGCCTCTGCATGGAATGGAATGGCGTGGAATAATCCTCTTGTCCACGCCAGGCAAAATAATAAGTCGCGTCATCTCGGATGCAGATCTCCGCCAACCGGAACAAGCTGGATTCAGGAAAGGCAAATAGTGTGCTGATCAAACTGCAACTCTGTGCATCATCATCGAACAAAGCAGAGAATGGCAGTCAAACCTCCATCTCAACTTCATCGACTTCGAAAAGCCTTCGACAGCGTTGACCGAGAGGTAATTTGGAAACTACTTCAACACCATGGCGTTCAGTGCCCAAATCTTTATCAAACAGCTGGCTATACGACAGTGGCACGTGTCAGGTGATCCACAACGGAAAACTCACTCAGCGAAGACTTTGAATTGAATGCAGGAGTAAAGCAAGCTGGCCGTCTATTATCACCAATCATATTCCTAATTGTGGTGGATTGGACCATGCGTCATACTCTGCGTGGGGAGTGAGAAGACAGCAATACACTGGACGAGTATAAAGACTCTAGAAGATCTGCATTTAGCAGATGATTTATGTCACACAGACTCGAAGACTTACAGGCGAAAATGAACAAACTAGCAGAAGAAGCAGCGAAAACAGGACTCCAGGTGAACATAGAGAAGACAGAGGTGATGAAGATAACTAACCAACAGCGACAACAAGCAGCACCAATCACCGCCAACGGGAGAAATTTGAAGGATGTAGCTTTCTTCACTTATCCAGAAAGCATCGTTTCAACTACAGGCGGAACGAATGAAGATGTCAAAGTCAGCCAGAATTGGAAAGGCAAGATACGCCTTCATCAATCTGAAATCAGTTCGGGAATTTCCTGCACTCAGCATAAACAACAAGATTCAGATTTTCAACACCGATGTGAAGTCAGTCAGTGCTTCTATATAGGTCAGAAACTTGCACTGCGTGTCACGAAAAGCATTTCCAGCAGGTTACAGACTTTTACCAACAGCTGCCTTCGCTCCATACTGAAGATCAGATGGCCGGTCAGAAAGAGTTAGCAACAAGAAACTCTAGCGATGAACAAACCAACCAAGAGCCGATTGCTCAACAAGTATTCCGAAGAAAATGGAAATGGATTGGACATACACTGAGGAGGCCGTCGAGTGACATCGTGCGCCAAGCCCTCGAGTGGAATCCGGATGAGAAACGACGAATGGGGCGTCGCTTTGAGGGTGACATGGAGGAGATCATGCGAGGAGGAGATAGGAGACTGTGGGCAATCGTGGGGCCAGCTAAAGTAGACCGCAGAGAGTAGGGCTAAGTGGAGATGTGCTGTGGAAGGCCTATGTCCCACTCGGAACTCAAGGAAACAGTAATGATAATAATAATTATTAGAATAATAAAACAGCATGCAAAAGGATAGTGTTAAAAATAATCACAGCATTAGTAAGAATTATGAAGCTATATAAGGAATCAAAGACCATAAGAAAACACGAAATATATCTACTACTTGCAGTAAGTCAATAACTAGTTCGCATATAGATATTCTACTACTGAACTGATAATTTATTTTAGCAAAACAATTTCCTTCAGTTTTCGCACGTTCAAAAATTCATGCAGTGTGCACTTACACACTCTCATAGACTATAGTGCGAAGTGTGACAATTAATGGCTGACTGATCATACCATGTTAAGGAGGTTGGAATTCAAAGCCTGATGACGAACTAAATCCTAAGTCAAGGCAATGTATTTAATTGGGTGGAAATAAGAAATAAAATGGAAATGTATGTACAGACAAACGAAACAGTTGCCAAAAGAACTGAAAGTTTTGAAACGCTAATATTAGGGTTATTACGGTTTCAAAGTAACATAAATATATTTATTTGTACTAACTTTTAAAGCATCTACTGTAACAGCTAGTGCTTTAACACGAAGTCGAAGTTTGTTATTTTCAGATTGTAACATGACCATTTCACGAGATAAATCGCTCGAACTTTCCGTACCATTAGATGTTGCAAGCCGTTTACCCTGGAAAAAAAAAGTAGATTGTTGATGAAAACTACTTGACGTTGAGCAGTTACTTAAATGATAAAGGAACAACCTTAAAAGCAGAAATAAAATAACGAAAGCGCTAATGACATAAAATCTAAACTACTTCTACAATAAATGTGAGCACAGATATATATGACATTGATAAAGTAGTCCAAATAGTTAAATTTGTACAGAAATTTGTGACTACATACACGCTAACATATGACAAGATGGAAACACATATCTATAGGTTTTTCCGTTGTATAACGGAGTTTCATAATTCAGAACACAAAACAGAATAAACTCACTAAAACAAAAATATTCACTAGCTTAAGATCTAGAATAAATCATAGTCTACTCCATTACGTTAAAATGGGGTGAGCCAATGCCTAGAGAGAGGCATTTAAGAATTTTAATAGTGAAATCAGTCAGCAACATTCAAAAACGAAATAAATGTCCTGAACATTCCATCAACTCATGCGATTTTTATACGTAGTATCAATTTCAAAGTATTCATAGTACATAGAGTATGATGTACTAAGTCACTGATGCACAACACTATTAAGAAGAAGGAATGTGGAATTTCTACCGTATTCACATAACATCACTACATACAAATCAAGGTAACGCAGATATCTTAAACAACTGTACCCATATAAGAGATACAGATAAGAATACTCAAACCCAAAGAACTACGGAATACATCTACTCACGAGTAATTTGCCCGCATAATATAACAAACCGCTAAGCTGTGATTTTGTGAAACAAAACGATGAAACATGGTAATATCTATAATAAGTGAAATTGGTTAGACAAAAAGAAACTGCTATCTATTTACCACACTTCAGGGGGCAATTCTAAGAGATTCCAGTGACAGATATAGTCAGTACTTTTTAAATACTGATAGAATAGCAAAGGATGAAAAATATCGATCACTTAAAAGTGGATCTTCTGATAAATTTTATGAGAATCAACAAAAACAAGGGCTTTGATTGTAGGACTAAATTTGCCTACAGATTTTCGTCCTCATTGTCAATACTGACGACACAGAGTCTAGGCTCCACCAGTTAATACACAAGGTGGCTTGACATAAACTTTGTTTTTGAAATATAAGAGAAATAATAGACTCTCAAGCAAAGATAACAATAAAAAAGCAATTGTCATTCAAAGAAAAATGTACCGAAGAGTGTTTGTGTGTAGATCAAAATCATCAATGAATTACATTTTACATACAAGAAGATGGAATGCAACACTCATACAGGGCCAACCTCACACTATGAGAGTTTACCCAAAAGTCAAATAATAATCATCAAAGACAAAGTCAGGTCATATTCGTTGGTGGGCTGTCATGCCATCTGTGTGTCTGTCGCGACTAACATTAGTTCGCAAAAAGCTTTTAATGAAGAATTACTGGCAATAGCAGTAGGAAATACGGTAGACTTGAACACAATTATTTTGGTTTGATGATCAAATGGTCGAAATAAAAGTGGAGAGTAGATGGGTCCATCAAAAAGAGAACAAATCAAATACAAGACGTGAACATTAGAATATTCGAGTGTATTTCTAAACCAGTTGTATTTAATATATTTGGTTTTGAAAAATAACTTACCTGTCTATATTCATTTAATTCTTCCTCTAAAGCAGCCAACTGAGCGCGCAATGTAGCTAACTGTTTACTTGTTTTATCTTGGTTCATAATGACACGGTTGCGAATATTACGTGCACGATTAGCATATTTAAGAGTGTTCAAAGTTTCCAAGAAATCGCAGTCGGATGGACTTATACAGGCAATCATAATTGTGCGAGAATTACCACCAAGGGAATCTTGCAGTAGACGTGTGAGTTTAGAGTCACGATAAGGTACGTGACAACCTCGCTTTGATTTGTCACCCAAAGCAGATATAACATTACCGAGGGCAAGCTAGAAAGAAACGTTTGAGCCGGGCAATAGGTGAATAAAGCAAACACGAATAAACTAAATGTTCTGACGAAACAAAGTATGCTAAACCAGGCATAATAATCACAAAATGTCACACAACTGAAATCAAAGCACATGTTGTCTAACTATACTTTTTAATTATTTATTAACAGATATTCATGCAACCACTGTCCAGTCGACAAAAGCAGCTGAATAATATACATCCTATGCCTTTATAGTAAAAGAGTGAATTTGACTACAATGGAGATATTTTGTAAACTATAAAGGATAGATATAGTTACACGGTAACTAAATACCTATATAATTTTTAAATAGCTTCGTTACCATTTAAAGATTTCGACGCGCATACTAAATGAGATATACGTTGATAATAGAACAAAAATTATGCACAGTGGGTAGCGTAAAGGTATACACAGGGAAGCTCAGAAGGTAGAGTAGAAGTGTATCAATTTAAGAAGTAGAACCTTTGCGCAGCAATCAAAAACTAACGTAAATGATATATTACTGTAACAGTAGAAGACAAGAGACTTGATAAAGGAACGTTTACTCAGAATTTGTTATCACTATGAAGCGAAATTTTGTACACCTTATCTGAAAATCACCATTTGCACAGATCTTCCGTGATGTGCTTCTTTTCAGTAGCACAAGTCACACGACAACTACGGTGTGAATGAGCACAAACGATAGGAGAGAAAAACCATCTACGAGAACGTTATTGAAAATATTTAGAACTTAGAAATGGCGAAGTACACCTGGGCCGTTGTTAACAATCTCCAGCTGTATCACCAACATTCTCTAATCATCAGTTTTCAGAATTTTGCAGTACCATATCCAAGCAAAAACTAAGGACCAATGGTAAATAAGTAGTTTCTTGGATTGATGTCATTTTTCGATCTGACCACATCTCTGTCCCCATCTTATTCTTAATCGGACAACATTGTTCGTTAAGGAAGAGTGGTGTCGCAGCAATCTAAATCGATGAAGATTCACAGCTTTGTAGCTCGGCTTGTGTTGCTTATCTATCTAGTATTCTACTTTGAAATAATAGAGAAGATATGTAGCTCAGGTGTATGATTTGCAATTAATAGTGTTCTCTGAGCTGGTTGGTTTAGTTGCGGAGCTTTCGTCGTCCTTCTGGACAACATCTTCAGCGCAACATTTAGCATAAAGTGAAATGAATTAAATTTTTCATGAGTGATATAATTGCGTCTCCCGGTAACCATCTTTACATATGTTTTGGTCATTTTCTATCGACTTTCTGGTCACATTATTTACTTTTTATTAGTTGGTATATTTGGTCTATGTTAACGTGTTTGTTATTTGCATATTCGTTTGAGTACCAGGCTTCTAGGAATTCTCTGGCACTTTTGGTGTTTTCTCTGTCTAAGATTTCGACATTATCCCAATCAAAATGATGTTCATAATTGTCTATATGCATTGATATGAAAGAATATATATCGTGTCTTTTCACGGCTCATTTGTGTTTCTGGATTCTGATTTAAAGGGGACGCCCTTTTTGGCCGATGTAATGCCTATTACAGTTCATACAATTTATTTTGTAAATGGTATTAACTTTATCTCCTTTGTCTGTTGGATCTTTCGGTTTGCATAATATCAAATTAAGCGATTTGACTGGCTTGTGTGCTATATCTATATCAAACGGTCTCAGTATTCTAGCTGTTATTTCTGAGATATTTTTCATTTATGGTAGGATGAATTTTCTTGTGGTCTTTGATGATGGTTCCTTGTTGGTGTTGTGATTAGATTTTAAACACTTTTTGATGAAATTTTGTGGATAAACATTCTTTCTAAAGACCGTTTGTAGTATTCTACTTTGTTCCACATAACGTAAACAGTTGGTTACAAAAAAGTAACCTCCTGACTAACAGTTGCAGAGATTACCTTATAGTCATATAGTAGGACGGAATGAAGTAATGTACACACCCTTCTAGTTGGAAGTGGAATACCTTTTCACTTCCAAAGATTAGACAAATTGGTAGATAGATAACATAAATTATGATGAAAATATTCAATGAATGTTCCGAACAACTACATATATTTTCAAAATCAGTGTCTGACTCAGTTAGTTTGGATGTAACACCATGCGCTAGTCAAGGCTCTATTCAATAACTGGACTCCCAATAACAGTCACCCATTTACTGTTATTTTAGGTCACACTAGAATAAGAAGCAACCGGTCGGAGAAGCATCGTCTTTTCTTCATTTCAGTCAAACTCTCTATTCAATAATCTTGATTAGTACGCTGATTTGTTTTCATTGAGTTGCCCCTTCATTTGTCGTTCCCTTAAACTGTTGTTTTATTTATTTTGTGAGGTGTATTTCTTGATGTTCACAGTATCCTAATTTTATTTTGGATAATAAACGATTCATTTGCATTCACGGTGACATTAAGACTTCGGCATTTATCTGAATAGGTGAAGTAGTCACTATCTCATATCCTACCACCAAACCAGGTTTGCGGTAAGTGCTTATTGTTTGCTGAATAATGTTAAAACAAATTCATGTCACTGGTGTCTGTCAAAAGGTTCTGAACATAAGGGTTACTGCATTTAATTACGTATGCTATTATCAAGCTGTTTTAAACTCTCACTGTAGTGCGACCAGATGCATTCAATTCATTTATTTGAAGCAAACTACTAACTAAACCCAACAATATGAAGTCTTCAAAATCCAATCCATCCTGCACAGAATAATACCTTCGAAAATGTTGTGGTTAGATAACTTTTGTTTTTGAATAATAATCCCTAGCACATTCAAACGACCTAATGAATTTCAGAAATGATGAAATACACCTCCTGTCAAATACTAACAGTTTAATAAATATCCTCGGATAAAAACAAATGATTTTCGCAAATATTTATCATATGCGAATGCATCAAAGAGTTCTTTATCAGAAGGTCCTACAGTCAGGTACATTGTAGCGGGATCAAAGATAGACTATTGATCCACCTTTCTTTTTAGTAAAAAAGGTTCTTCTGAAATCCCAACAGTGCGTTGAATTTTACAGCTCAAGAATTTTATCTTACCACATATCACGTGTGAGAGCAACAAAGCATCGAGTGAAAGACTAATCAAATTTAAGTGAGCTAACATTTATCATAAAAGTGCATATCTTAGTCTTCGAAAGTATCAGTATTTTAGTGAACGTATACACAGTAAACATCGCCAGCTCTGAGAATTCGACTAAGACTAACTTTGGAAGCACTTAGATGCTTGAGGTAAAATAAAAAATGAAGTGTTAAAGGGAGAAAATGGATAGCTTCACAATTTTTTGATTTATTTAAGCATAGTTGACTAATCGAATTGACTGAATTTCATGAAACTTATTTATTCAAATGAAATTCATTTAAAATGAAATAAATAATTATGCAAATTAAGTCTCATGTCAATACAACATTATAGTGAAGAGAAATTTCCTTCAGTATAATTTTCAAATGTTCGTTGATCTTTGACTTAGTTCATAATAATTCAAATAGGTGATGTGCTGAAATACATCATAGTAGTACACTGACTCATCCCAGTATACAGAAATAAGCTGCAAGTCATAATCAAAGTCACGTGAAATACAAAATTCAACCGATGCATGCAGTGCTTCACATAAGGCATTATATAATACGTAATTGATTAACTAACCCGAAGGAAAAACCATATTTTAATACATATTTTTAGATGGAAAACCAGCCCACACAATACTCGATAGGCTGCGAATAGCTGAATCTGAAGCATACACATATCAAGAGAGACAACCTATAATAAAGACTTCAAATGTTTTCGACAAAAACTACTACTAATAATAATGATAATAATAATTATACTGCAGAATTCATTACTGTTATATTTCCTTTTTGGAAAGAGAAGTAATGGTAACAGCTAATGCGACATAATTAAAAGACAGTTTAAAACTTTTTGCTGTCATTCGATTGAGGAACGTCGACATTTAACTGCAGGATTTCTCAAATAGATATTCGTGTTGATATTCTTCAACATTGATTTAAGGAATGTTGTGACAATTAGATTAAGTTATCCGACGCAATGAAAATTTTATTAACACTAGAAGCAATACGCTGGAGTGTTCTTAAGTTGCTAAAACCAATTCTGGAATTCTGATTAACCTGATATAGTTATGAATAAACAGTTGTACCCCAAACATCATGGTATAAACGTACTACGTCACTATGTTTTTTCAGTAAAAACTAAGAAAAATGTGTAAGTCCATTAGAAATGAAGGTAGCGAATGATTCAATTTACCTCTCAATGAGTGAAAATAGTACCACACATGAAATATTACTATACTTACTAAACCACGGTTAATTGATATGCCCTCCTTTGCACGGTCTCCTGTAGCACCAGTTCGTTTGAGACGTTCGCTACCAGCAAGGTCAACGAAGTGAAACTTCGCAGTCAGTGTTTCGTATTCCGGTACCTGGTCGACAACAGTTGAGTCAGGGTCTACATCCACACCAGATTGGGTATCCGATTTTTTCTGTTCATTAGAATTCTGTATAAAAGAGTTAATAATCATGCCAATAAGTGTATACCTTATTCCGGCGAAAGGCAAATTTGTATGACTTAGACTGGCAATAAAAATTAATAAAAACAAATCGTTTGGTGAAGAGATTTAAAAAATCTGTCAGAAGACGAACACTAAAGTCACCTTTGTTGTTTGTTCCATAAAAGGTAGTCGTTGAAAATTGATACAAGCACTGCCTGTGTTGTAAAATGAAAATCATCGGGAGGTCCTCAAAAAGATTCACACCATAAAATTATATTTAACTACTTTGTACATAACTCGAAAGTACTTCACTGAGTATGATAGATACTACCTTCACGTAATTAGCATCCCTAATAAACACTACTACTTTGATAAAATCCACTGCAACAAAGTAGCCACATAAAGCAACTAACTCAAGCACATTGCCTACAGTATTGAACAGCCAACCAAAGGAAAATGGTAAAGCTATATGTCGCTACATAAACTCATTAGAAATAGGAGACGTTAAGTTAGCAAAGATTGAATAGAGTTCTATAAAACGAATGAGAATATGGTATTATAATTGGCAATAATGTGTGAGATTAATTATACTTTAATAAATACAAGAATAATGCTCCAACAAATCATCTCTGAAATCATATATATATATATATATATATATATACATTGCATGCTCTACCACTTCAAAGCCTGTTCATTTTAGGAAAAATATTTTTTGACGGAGGAAATTTTGAAATTCTTTCACAAAAAATAAGTGAATGAGAATGAATACCAATCATCAACAAATAAAATTAAAAGAACATTCTCACTACAAAATATGTAGAGAAATTCTTAAAATTGAAATAAAAACTAAGGAAAATATGGGATTATGTAAGAGTCCCACAGAAATATATGAGGTATGAGAAGTTAGAAAGACAAAAGAAAAAAGTCAAGACAGTTGGAATCAACATGGTTGTTACCATATTACCACTCCGACTATCATGGCAACAAGGATGCTGCTTCATACTGTCACGACTTCTTTTTGTTTCCCATTCATTAGATTATTCATCTTATTACGTAATTGTAATACATTAATTCAACCCCTTTAATGCATGGACTAATAATAACATGTATGTTTGTGACTACTCATCACTTTTGTTACCAACCCACACCTTTATGAAAATAAAATTGAATTAAGTTTGCTATACTGGATGTATTTTAAAAACGGAAACATTGATTTCCAGAATATCTATCGTGTTGTTAAAAGCCGTTGCAAAACAGTTTCAAGACTTGCTAAACAACATATATAACACAGATGGTCAATATTTGAAGCTTTTATTTAGAATCTCAAAACCGACATAACTCAAATAGAACAGCGACTTTTCATTCGGTAGTAAATGAACTGTTTCATTAGGATTTTCGAACAACAAAAACGTTAATACAACATACCTACGATGAGTATTATTATTAGTTTCCTTGCGTTCCGAGTGGGACATAGGCCTTCCACAGCACATCTCCACTTAGCCCTACTCTCTGCGGTCTACTTTAGCTGGCCCCACGATTGCCCACAGTCTCCTATCTCCTCCTCGCATGATCTCCTCCATGTCACCCTCAAAGCGACGCCCCATTCGTCGTTTCTCATCCGGATTCCACTCGAGGGCTTGGCGCACGATGTCACTCGACGGCCTCCTCAGTGTATGTCCAATCCATTTCCATTTTCTTCGGAATACTTGTTGAGCAATCGGCTCTTGGTTGGTTTGTTCATCGCTAGAGTTTCTTGTTGCTAACTCTTTCTGACCGGCCATCTGATCTTCAGTATGGAGCGAAGGCAGCTGTTGGTAAAAGTCTGTAACCTGCTGGAAATGCTTTTCGTGACACGCAGTGCAAGTTTCTGACCTATATAGAAGCACTGACTGACTTCACATCGGTGTTGAAAATCTGAATCTTGTTGTTTATGCTGAGTGCAGGAAATTCCCGAACTGATTTCAGATTGATGAAGGCGTATCTTGCCTTTCCAATTCTGGCTGACTTTGACATCTTCATTCGTTCCGCCTGTAGTTGAAACGATGCTTTCTGGATAAGTGAAGAAAGCTACATCCTTCAAATTTCTCCCGTTGGCGGTGATTGGTGCTGCTTGTTGTCGCTGTTGGTTAGTTATCTTCATCACCTCTGTCTTCTCTATGTTCACCTGGAGTCCTGTTTTCGCTGCTTCTTCTGCTAGTTTGTTCATTTTCGCCTGTAAGTCTTCGAGTCTGTGTGACATAAATCATCTGCTAAATGCAGATCTTCTAGAGTCTTTATACTCGTCCAGTGTATTGCTGTCTTCTCACTCCCCACGCAGAGTATGACGCATGGTCCAATCCACCACAATTAGGAATATGATTGGTGATAATAGACGGCCAGCTTGCTTTACTCCTGCATTCAATTCAAAGTCTTCGCTGAGTGAGTTTTCCGTTGTGGATCACCTGACACGTGCCACTGTCGTATAGCCAGCTGTTTGATAAAGATTTGGGCACTGAACGCCATGGTGTTGAAGTAGTTTCCAAATTACCTCTCGGTCAACGCTGTCGAAGGCTTTTCGAAGTCGATGAAGTTGAGATGGAGGTTTGACTGCCATTCTCTGCTTTGTTCGATGATGATGCACAGAGTTGCAGTTTGATCAGCACACTATTTGCCTTTCCTGAATCCAGCTTGTTCCGGTTGGCGGAGATCTGCATCCGAGATGACGCGACTTATTATTTTGCCTGGCGTGGACAAGAGGATTATTCCACGCCATTCCATTCCATGCAGAGGCCTAGGTTGGCCTTATTTGGTAGCTTGACAAGGTAGCCAGCCTTTCTACCAATCGGTGGGCACCTTTCCAAACCTTTTGCAATAATGGCGTGAGCACATCTGCTGCAGTCTCTGGATTCGTTTTCAGTTCTCCAGGAGCAATTCCGTCTGGTCTTGCTGCCTTCTCGGTCTTCAGTGGGTGGATTGCATTCAAGATTTCTGTCTGTGTTGGAGGATTGGTGTCCACTGGCAGGCAGTTCTGTACGTGCTGCCGGTGGTGGTGGTATTTCTGGGCGGGTTGCAGGTGATGGTTGATTCTCTCTTGAACAGCATTGAGATGAAGTCCATGTGGATTTTGGTGTGTCCATCAGGCGAAATCCATGTTACCTTGTGTATATCCTTGCGTTTGTACACGCTGCCTCGGATCACCAAATCATTGAAATCGCAGAAGTCTGCGAAGAGTTCTCCTTTGTCATTTATTTCTCCGAGAGCCTCTCGACCCATGATGAGTTCTCTTCCTGTATTATCTGTCCCCGTTTTGGTTTGTATCCGTATCACCCATAAGTATTTTGATGTCTCCATTTCGGGATGTTGTCCTTTACTGTTAGTAGTTGTCTATAGAAATCTTCCTTCTTCTCTTGTTCCGAGGTGTTTGTAGGTGCGTAGCATTGGATAGTTGACACCTTCCTTCCTGTTGAGTTGAATCTTACTGCCATAGTCTTGGAGGAGGTTGATTCCCACTGCATAAGAGCTTTGACTGTTGTTGGTGACATCACGATAACCACTCCCTCAGTGTGCTTGTGGTTACCGTATGGATGACTGGAGTAGATTACTGACTTTCAGGTTGACAATTTCGATATTCCAAGTCCATTCCACATGCTCCTACAGACTGCTAGCACTTCTACGCCTTATCTTCTCATTTCTTTGGTAACCTATGCCGCCTTCCCAACCTCAGACATTGTGTGGACATTCTAAATCCCCAATCTTATTTTACTTCCATCGAAAGAAGACACGCCGGCTGACTGGCTTCCCGAAGACTTCAACCTGCCTGCGTTATTTTATCTCTCCGATTCCAGCGGAGAATAAAGTTTGTTTTTTATATTCTTTTGTGCGTTGAAGTTTCTGTACCAGTCTGATTGAGTTTTCGGAGTATGATCGCTAACCTCACGCCCAAGCCTTCCTCTTTTTCCCGGGTAGGGGACCGGCCAGAAAAATAGTGAGCTTGTAATCTAAGCGGCATTCTCTTGGTTGGGTAGTTGGCAATAAATGCAAATTATAAAGTAGGAATACTAATTTCGAATAATCTAAAGACAACAGAATTACCTAGAATAGTGTGGACGCCTTTCGGGTAACTCAACCCTACTAAATACACCGTTAACTATTCCACCTGTAGGTGGCAAAAATAGTGTACGAAACACATACACATTGAATAACAAGGATGTAAGCTTATTTGACAAAAAGTAATCAAATAGTACATGTAGATTCACATATTTAATAATATGCATATTGGAACTCACTTCATACTTCAACAACTTTTGCTGTCTGATGTGCAGCGTGAATATAGCATGTGAACGCGAAGACTGAGCATTCATGTTGGTGCTGGCTGTACTTCTAACTAACGTGCCATCATGAAGACACTTAAGAGTCTGAAAATAAAACAAGGTAAGCCGTTTTATGAAAATAAAGCTTATCTTGCTATCAGTGAAACCTAAGATAAGTGATAACTCGTTTTATGCATACACAAATTTTAACCGGTTAGTTTTTGAAAACTAAGGTTTGAAGCGACTAAATCTTAATCCTTAGCTTTACAGAACTTTCTGAAGTCCATTTTAGTCACTTTCGACTTTAACCCATAAAACCTGTTATTGTTTACTTTGACTTTACATAAGAACGCATGAACCAGGTCAAAGTATATTGGGTGTCTAAGTGGAACAAAACGCAAACTAGTACAATATTGTAACGACTTAAGCTAATAAAGTTTATAGCAGAACTGAAAAGTGAAATCAATAAAACGAAAGAAATACGAAGGCGTGCAATAACAGAGAAGCATTACCTACATAGGAGAAATGCAAAATACTGATACCAGTAAAAAAGAAAAATCCATCGCATTACAAGAGTAAAGAGAAAGTTATGTGAATACATAAATCCGACTATTAGGAATAACTAATCGAGCCTAAAAAGTCATCAATAATTAAAACTGTATCGCACTGTAGTATATTGTACTAATTGATATGTTATGGAAGATAAATAAATGGATAACTATTCGGCGTCTTTAGTCACAAGCTTCACTTTTCTTACAAGAATTCTACTGTCGCATCCAAATCGAACATAAAAGGTTGTCCAGTCTTTTTCAACATAGAATATTAAACACGAGTTGATAACCTCACAGTCGTGATTTGAAGGAAATTCGGTGCAGTGATCAAGAAGATACAGAGCTACGCATATCATCTTTCAGAATTGAGCACTCTCTACCCATTGATATTACACGTACTATTAGTTTGAATGCAAACACAATCTAAGGAATACAATGCATAGAATAATAAAGCATTTTGTCGGTGTAAGGCAATAGAGATTAGGGATTGTTACGCAACAACGACCCCCATAAGCAATATTTATAACGTCTTCGTTACTCTTTACTACTTCTTGAAAATAACATTGGGAACTACAGTGTGATCACATGTTTTGATTCCAATAATATTGCACTGTGGCACTTACTCTTTTGACTATAATAGACAGTTGAGTAGCATAAACAGACTGTTATGTCACATGACAGACTAATCACATCTCTGCTTCAGAAACTCTGAAACTAACCCATGAAGAGACCTAACCTCAAGACTTTCACATAACTGTAAGAACATAATGATTTATTATTTTACAGTTATAACCATAAGAAAAAGATGTACACAGCGAAGAAATTTCGGGAGTTGTACAATAGTATTTATATTTAACAAAGAATTCGTAGGACTAATCAGATGCTGGTAACTTTGTTTCAGGTGTATTACATAATGTGAGGTGTATTCTAGAAGGGGGTGACTAGGTGAATATTAGAAAAAGGGAGTAGTAGATTACAGCTACAATTCATTGAGAATGTTTCAAGGGATGTGACAAGTATTCTTGTGGAAATAGGGTATCCTAAGGAACACTGAATCTAGGAACTCAGAAGAAAGAAGAAAATTTAAGCCTTTTCACAGTGATGATTTTCCACTGCTGATTTCGAAAAATAGCAATAACTAAGTACCATTTTTTTAAATGACTGGAGTGAGAAATCATAGTGTAATCCCATTTACTTAGAGGACATATGAACTTTTTAAACTACAAACTGACTTTTTCAGATACTTTAAACAAACCTGAACTGTCCCTTGGACAAGTTCTGAAATTAAGGGCAACACCAACAGTTGAAAATCAAAATACTTTCGTTAACAACAGAATATGAACTGAATTCAAGAGGTATTCAGAATGATACCAGCGACTGGCGTATATGGTGACGGTAGTTACGGTATGGAATAGTCAAATACCATCAACTTCATACAACGAAGAAACAAGGTGGGAAAATGTGACCAATCAATGTAACTCACGTCATCTAAACTTGATACGAGTCTTGTAGATACACCAGTCAAATAAATATCACCTTGTGCATTTTCATGTAGACGTAAGTGAGGTTTCCGAACCTGGAAAACAGGAATTATGACTTGAAGGTCAAAGATATTACTGTAACAATAACAAATTATACTTCATTAAAAAAAATGAAATCTCGGTAGGTATTTCCATAGTATTTCTATTCAAGTTAAAATACACCTGTCGAGTTACAGCAAGCACATACTCTAGCACAATAACTGTCTGTTGTAGTTAAAACTGGTAGCGAACAAACAGATACGAAGTCAGACAATTTACAGCAAACACTTATGGGTTCACATCAGTACAGAAAGATTATGACTTAACAAAAGGCAAAGTTGTAGGAAACAAGATGTCTAAATTGTTATAGGACATGAGTGAATAAACAGAAAATTACAGTCTATATAGACTTTATCCTGAATATTTTCACACCAGTTCCTACAGAATCTTATGCAAGCACAAGAGACCACACTAGTGAAATGCTGTTTTTGGCATAGTTATGTTCCTTAAACTGGATGGTTTAGTTGCAAGGCTTTATCTTACCAGACAGCATCCTCAGAGCATACTTCAATTTGAAATGAGTATTTGATCTCAATTACAACAGCAACGGGAGTCATTGCTGCACTCCTGTCTTAAGAGAAAATGATGAAAAATACCCAATGGCTGTCTTCCGAAAAGTGGATATCCATGAAACTTCATCAAAAGACATCTACCCTCAACCCAAACAACCGAACGAAAAGTCCCTAAGGGGAAGACAAAGGAAATTGTCCTACCCCAAATAGAAAACATTTCCGAAATCACTGCAAGGCTAATCAAACGTTCAGGAAGTGATGTAGCCTACAAACCAACAAAATGACCTCGCTCGACTCTATGTCAACCAAAAGACTCAACAGAGAAAGAAGACAAAACCAATATCATTTACGGGATAAATTGCAACGACTGTGAAAAACACTACCCCGGCCAAAGTCGACGCCATCTTCGTCTTTGTATTCATAAACACAAACTGACCATCAAAAGACGCGATATCTACTCCCTAATGTCATTGCATACAGACAACCAAGAACATTAATTCAATTGGGATAATGGCCAAATCTTTGGCAGAAGAAACACCAAAATCACCTGGATATTTCTAGAAGCCTGGTGTTCAACTGAATCGGCAATCAGTAGGCACATCGACATAGACAAGACCTACCGATCCATAAGAAGGAAACAGCATGAACAAAAGGTCAAATTCCAGGCCAAGGAAACAATCGATGCCAATACAAATTGACCAATCATGCTCAAGGTTATTACGAAAGATAACTAGTAAACTCGTGGAGAATTTTAAAAGCTCACTTCAAATTGAAGTATGCGCCGAGGAGCTTGTCTGGTAAGACAATGAATGCTTCGCAACTAAACCTTCTAGTTCAGAGAACACTATACCAAAATCATCCACCTGAGCTACGAATCTTCTGCACTATATCTAATACTCAGTGTGAATAAACTTATTTAAACGATAACAAAACTGGTTAGAATTTTCATATCGGAAAAAAATTTTGGGATAATCACTATGTATATACGTCTGAGCATTATTACTTAATTCTGCTCCTATAAATCACCATATATAATGAATAAGACAATTTTTACTGAAAAGAAAAAATCCTATAAAAAACTTATACAGAACACTAAACACCAATACAAAAAGCAAAGATGTGACCTAACTAATCCCGAAATGGATTCGAGTACTAACTAGACTATGACGTATTACTACTAAAGCCTACTTTTTTACCACTCGCCAAATTACCTTCAATTAAAAAAACACTGTTTCGGATACTCCATATATAAAACAATGTGGACTGTTGCTTCTCATCATCTAACATCAAAGCCCCAGTATTTCAAATACTGATACTGTTCAGTTTTCATTGCACTTAACTCACATGTGACTTTATAATTTACTGACTTTTAATTACAAAGAGCACGGGTTGTACTAGAAGCCAACAGAAATTTAGTCTCAGTTTAGTAAATAAAAACACTACCGGATGAACGGGTTGCATTAGTTCTAGAATTCAATTTGTCTCAGTCAATACTGATGACACAGTCCGACTCGTTATAGTTCAATCACCAGTAATTCGTCTCTGAATTTTGTTTCTGAGATACAAAAACACTAAATTAGTACAACAGTAATAGATACAAACATTTGTCCTTCAAACAACGACAGAGACATACCGAACAGCGTTAACATGTCAAATAAAATGTCTAATTCCAGTCATTTTTTTAGATATATGAGGGGGAAAGAGTAACGAACACAAAAGGTGAGGTTTGCGTATTGACCATTCACACAAGAATAATTGGCAGGTAACGGTTTAATTTCTAGTTGTAACTAACATAAAGGAGGTAACATTCGGCTGACATTATTATACTGATTAGCTGTCGCAATTGATATTATCTTTGCTTTTATTGCTTGACTCAGGATGGAGAAATCACTGAGAAAGAGTCGTCAACCTTGATATGTTGATATTGATGAATTATTAATTACCTAATAACCTACAAACAACATCCGGATTCACTATATGTTCATGAAAGAATACCTCCCTTTGAATCGAAATAGAATTCCACTGTGGAAATGATTCAATTGCATATTGAAGCACTGAATACCTTTCGAATGCAATGGCAGATTTAAGAGCAATAGCTTTGTCTCAATTAGCAATTCCGTCCTGATATCAAGACAATGAATAAGAAAGTTACCTGAAGAAATTGGTCGGAAAGCCCAAGTTCAATAGTGAAAACAAACAGAACAAACACCCACAAAGTGTACGCCGAGGGTGAAATACAGGTACCGCGTAGGGCTTATTTCTCAGAGTTAAGTCATGAATAGGTGACGGGAAGATCTATGCAAAAGGTAGAATTTGGAAAGGAATAAGTGCAATCGCAGTTTTGTAAATTTAGTTTGCGATAAAACATTCACCTACGATAGTTTGATCAGCTTACTACTCATTGCATGTACAGCTGTAACTAGCCAGTAGTACGAACTTACCCTTTCAGAATCAAGTAGGTCAACCAACTCCTCATTGTAAAGCTGTAAAAAGAAAAACTCTCCTTAGATAAAAAAAATAACAGGAGAATTATATTGTGCAAAAGTATTTTAAATTATGATACACAGAGCAGAAGTGTACCTAGAAGTAATTAAAAGGCTCAAACCTATATGAACTACCAGACGTATTTCATAAAAATTCGATAACAGCTATTTGGTTTAAATACGATGGGTTTGATAAGTGACGATATTGCTCAGTGATATTCTATTGTCTAGAAATAATTTTCCAAGTTACTAAAACACACTCCAAACATAATAATGAAGAGTTCCATACATACATCCTACCAGACTGTGAATAAACATGAACCACGACCTTCCACGTGCTTCTAAGGACCTAGATAAATATTCCGAAAATCAATGTCTATCAATGCAGCATTGCCAATAGGAAACAAACATAACCACCCATTTCCAGATCTCAGGTTAAAAGTGTTGCACTTACACAAACAGATATCAACAATGGGAATGATGCGGATGAAACATCGTCAAATAACTTACTGCACTTAGATACAGATAGTGAGAAACCCCCATAAGTGAGGCATTACCAGGTTGTCCAAATCTACTTGTCTCTGCGGAGGGCTGTCGCTACCATCACATAGCTTAATTCTAAATTCAGTCTTTCACAAATAATTGAGTGTCATTCCAATCGTCATTCTTACAACAGTTTTCGAGGAATTCAGTTAGGTTTAGTTTACGGCTATGGCCATTATCACAGTATATGAATGGTTAATAATCAGGATTTCGGAAGCATACAACTATTCAATGAAACTACTGTAAGAGATATAAGATCTACTATACCTAAGAAAGTTGACTGATAACATCTCTTGTACTGAATGCCTTCACATCAGCAGGTAGTTGTGAGTATAGTCCTGCTAACATCTACGCTCGAATGTCTAACTAACAGAGAAACAATAGTAACTGCGACTTACCTAAAACGTTTCATGAATACAAGGTCTATATGGCATATTTGGCGAAACATACCTCTAAAAATTGTGCAACAACTTTGAATTCGGGAACGGGTTCTTTCTTTGTCGCTGCCTCAGCCCGACGTTTCGTTATACATGCAAACAGGTACTGCACAGCGCGCGGAATAAGCCCAACGTCTGCATGACTGCAGCCAATATCAAAACCCGTACCCATTGTATAAGTTTTTCCGGAGCCCGTCTACGCAGATGTATACTAAAATAAGACTTACTTGACCGTATGCTATTATAGTGGCGTTATATCCATCCATACAACTAAGAGGTAAGTTAGTATACAGTAACAAACCCATCAACTAAAGGTTTGGCCAAAGTTTGGAAAACGCAGTCCTGAGGTGTGTTTATATTAAAAACATGATCATATGTAAAAGTAGCGTCTTTCCCAATAACAATTTGTGCGTTGTTGGGAATAACTGTTGTACAAATGTGGTTCATTTCAGCCTTTTCTTTAGCGCTTTGAGGCCGAATCCTTAAACAGTGAGGTGCGATTGATCAATTCTTACCTCACGGCGACCCTCACAGACGTTGAATCAGGGTCAGTCGGGAACTCTGCCGATAAAGCCTGACTCTCCATTTGTAACGACTATATAAAAGAGATACTATGGAGCACAGAAAGTCAACCAGAGCGCGCGTCCCTACGAATTTCAAAACTAGCTCGCTTTTCATAGGACTATTAATGCGATACAGTTTGACTTAACGAAATGAGGCCATAGGAAAAAATTCTTCAAACGTGGCTATGAGTGCACAGTAATCCAAGTTATGTTTACCAATGGAGTTGTTCATCTAAAATTGCTGTTTGTTAAGTCACCAGTTGCTCCTAGTTGCAGAAATTAAATTCTTCCACCTCTATTCTGTTCATACATTCCATCTATAAACTGAGATGTAGAATTTGAATTAATGTAGTCTAATGCTAATTCGTGATGCAGAGTTATTTGCTGAAACTTAATCTCCAGTCCTACATAGGAAACTTTCAGATGAGTGACAGACTAATCCATAAACCATTCCCCTCTCTTCAGATATAGTAAAGCAAGCTAGAAACCTTATCTTTGTCCTGTCGCTAATTCCATTTCGGTCTTTCGTTGAAGACGTTTGCATTGCATTTGCTACCAGATGGCTGGATGAAACCCATGGAATTTCAATCCTGTATGAGCATATATTAAGAAGCTGCTGACTATGTCACTAATCAGTGCATACCCCTTGAGGTTTTACTGTACTCCACTGAACAACAAGATCTTTCATCAGGTGGCTCACGTAGCCTTAGGAGGATTTGTTCACCCACAATACCTCAATAGTATTCCGAAGATATTAACCAAGGTGCTGGCCTAAGTAGTAATAAATCAATGAAATGGAAGTTCGCAAGTAGTCAGGTACAGAGGGTGGACATTTTGAAGGAATCCCGTTAATGACCTATGATATGCAACTGGCTCAAAGTATATGTGCATTACTATTCGCGAGAAGGGGTGAGGACTTCAAGAATCAGATGAATTCAAGTATGAACCAAATTCACATAATGTGATTACCATCGATGCTAATATATTGGGACTGAATTATCAGGACTGGTGCCTCCTTTCCAGGAGTGGCTTAATTGCATATCCCCGCTATGAAGTCCGTTGATATGTTGCTATGGGTTTCAAGTGGCCTTGATTTTGGGGGGAGTTTTAATTGATGTAATATTACGATTTCATGGACATAACTTAGGCTCATAGGTGAAAGAAAGTTATTATCCTGGAATAAGGACAAGTTGTTCAGAAGGTAAGGAGGACTTTATTTTTCAGTTTATTCGTATATATACTATTGCGCATCGAGTTTCACTGCGATTCCACATGCAGCAAAAGATTATGAATACCTTGCTCTTCTCTTCTGCATAAGAAAGTTACTTCACAAGATTCGCTATATTGCGTTGTACTAAATCTTCTGCGCTTTCTGTATGGATTCGATGTTCTTCGATTGGCCATTTAACAACTGCTGGATGTTGCATGTGGTCAAGCTAAAATTATAACTGCTAATTCCAAAAATTGTTGTCGTTTTCATTGGCGTCATTACACAGCCTATTGAGTTTACACAAGTACAATACCAATCGCTCACTTTACTGAGGAGACATTAACTAGGATTCTGGAAAAGTAGTTCGTCAGTATGTGAATTTCATGAATCTGTGGATTGCATTCTACTCACTTAATACTGAAACTAAACTATGAGGGAACTGATATTTTCAAGAAGGATATAATACCAGGCTCATTTCTACAACTGTCGTCCTTATTTTAGTTCACTTTCATGATACATGTATTAACAGAATTGTCTGTCACTGACTTTAGGAACTTACCAGAGAACAGCATTGTCGAATTAGTGTTTGCTGATGATACTGTCCACTTAGGCTGTCAGAAGTAACCATTGAAACTGGAAGATATGAAAGCACTACTGGTTTTCGATCGCAGTGTCTGTGCCTTTTCTTCTGTGTTAGGTAGTATGATATGGTGAGTAATATTGGAGTTAAGCTTACAGTGGTAATTAGAAATGTGACTCCAAACGTTGTTAATGACAAAGATGCCTTCACTCTGTGTAATCTCACATATCTGAACAACCTTTATATTTTTTTCCACATCACTGTTCGTTTTCCATCACATTTATGCTCAATAGAGTTCCATTCGATGAGAAACACGCCTAATTGTACGGCATATGTAACTGGCTCCGCAGGAGCAGTTAAATTGGTAGATACACATGGAAGAAGCGAAATTAGGCAGTTTGTCTTTTACTCCCACTCCCTTTTTGCGTTCGGGAGTAAAGGACAAACTGCCTAATTTCGCCTCTTCCATGTGTATCTACCAGTTTAACTGCTCCTGTGGAGCCAGTTACATATGCTGTACAATTAGGCGTGTTTCTCGTCGAATTTCTGAACATCACCCTGCGTGGTTAAGCAAAGGACAAACAAAATCTATTCGCAGCGCTATTCTGTCTCATCTTGTGGATACAGAACACAAGACTGATGTTAACCATGCTTTCAGGGTAATTTACCGCATACCTACAAACCTCAATTTCGCCTTAAGAGTCCGACTACTAAATATTGCTCAGGTTGCGAGGATCCATATTAATAAGCCTAAATTATGCATCCAAAAGAAATTAGTTCAGACTTTATCATTACCTTGGCCATCTAGGTTTGAATGATCCTGAATTTTTGTGGAATTTTCCTAATTTTAGTTGATATTCTATTCTCTACTGTATCTTTATTATTTACAATTATTATTTATTATAATTTAAGCATCTTTAATGAACTGTAATTGCATTGATCATACTTTACAAATCGATATTATTTAAAAAACACTAATATTGTTATTGACTACTAATTTAGAATATTCTATGTATATAAACATATGTATACTTGTAGAGCCGGAAGGGGAATTTATCGAAAAGAATATTCCTTGCTCGATTACTTTGTGTTTTATAGATGTCTGAATGAATATTTTTGCTATATTAAATAATTATGTCTTGGAAATTTGTCTTGATGTAGTTTGTCACCAGATAAAATTCCGTGATATCGTTTTTCACCCCCTTTGACTTACGTAGCTCTGTTCACTCTACACACTAACAGAAATAGGTAGAATTATCATATCATAGCATAATTAGCGCCGCGCTAATACGTCTCAGCTCACTTTTAGCTGGTTTGTTTCCTTGCTTAGCAAGTCTCACCTCAAAATATCCATATTCCTCCAATGCGAACTTGGATTGGGAAAAGCAGTCCAACTCACTCACCATGGCAGTTACACTAAATCTAGATGAACTGTATTCTTCATAATCACTTCATCTTCATCACCTACTACACATTACTTGCCTCGCCTCCTGTTAAATCTTTCAAGATATCCAACTGCATTCAACCACAGTTGTTGGTTGTCAAATTAATCAGCTTCCATCATTACGCTCCACCCAGCTGTATGCAGCCCAAAAGTTTGGTCATCAGATTAATCTACTTCCTCTGCTGCAGCACAAACATCGAATATCGGTAACTCTGTTTCACTATTCTGTTAATCTGATCATGCGAAAGTAGCTGAAATTTATAAATATGTTTCCATATTAGGAGATAAGTCGTCACGAAACCTACTGGCGATTTGTTACATTTTAACTGTAGGAGATCAAAGAAGCTCACCAAACCAACTTAACCTCGGCAGTTTCACCTTCGACAGCCAACTTGTTCATCTGCGCAGATCGAATCACCTGGCAAACGATTGGATTTTCAAAGGACAAGAGCTCAGCTACGGCGTTGTGGTGAGGTTGTGTACCTATACTCTACCCATATCATCGTTAATAAATACATCTTCGAGCAGTCGTGGGAGTTATATTCTCTCTTCGCTGTTCGGGAAATTTCGACCGTCAGGTTTGGTGGGCAGTTAATGTAACCAAAGCTCAGATCAAGCAGGGCACATAGCGGCACGACAATTCTTAATGTTATTTATAGTTGAAGCCGACCGGAAACGAGCGCGAAGTTGCCCGACCAGCGTAATAAACAGGTTTCTTAGATTACATGAGTATACTATAACCTACCCATGTTGTGTGACTGTGTCACACGATTGGCTATATTGTAGTGTTAATATCCGTTGCTACGTAGTAACAAGTTATGTTTTTGTATGCTTTTTGAATGAAATTTCTCATTCAAATCTTTTCTGGCGTACATAATATTGGCGGCAATGTGTGGTTTGACTGCGATGCATTTTCTGCACTTGTATCAGGAAATGTTGCTTGATACCCATAACTGTGAAATGTGATGGATTAAATAGAGCAAGAAGTTCAAAGTTTAAACGTTTATTTATGAATTTTCGTGGGGTCATACTGTTATATTCGGCCTTTTTATTGACACGCTATTGTCTTGAAAATATCACTGGTGTTTGGTTGTAGGTATCAATTCACTACTCCCTGTCTGAATAATAATAACACATTCTCATTTTTTGTACATGGGGGAAGTCAGTTTACAGGCATCATAAATGTGATAAACTACATTTACGATTAGTAAGCATATTTGGTAATAATATAATAAATTACATATTTATTCCCACCTATATGGGACACACCAGTTGTACAGGCGTGGATTAGTATTATTTAAATTACATAAATTTGGCTTGTGGTGAAATTATATGGTTGCTGTCGATTTTGTCTTTAGTTTGTGGGAACAATCTGCTAACTGCTCATTCAGGGGAGCACATCAAGAATTATAAAAATATTGTATTCGCATTTACAAATAAACCCAAGTATGTGTTGGATGGGTTGCAAATACTTGGGAAACTTGAAGTCATTTCCCTCATATAACTTTGGTGTGCACGGCCTCCAGTCTTATTCTTGATTTATATCTAAATTGGGTATTAATTTAAAATAAGTGACACACTTGTATAATTTTGTCAGCATTCTTATCGTAAGTAACACCAGAACTGAATTGTACTCAATGTAGGCTAATAATAACAGCCGTTTTTATTTTATTTTAAACGGGTGTTTACGAGAATTGCAAGCTATTTTTACGGGCACGATCAGTTATGTTATAAACTACAATGGTGAAGTATTATTATTATTCTTTCCTTTAATTCCTACAGGAACACAGGGCTTCAGCCGTGCGTCTCCATTGCGTTCTGTTCTCTGCTAGGGTCTTCACCTGGCTCCAAGTCTGCCCACACGTTTTCATCTCCTCTTC